TATATATATATATATATATATATATATATATATATTATATAAGACTTTATTGACATTAAATATTTACCCTAAACTAGAATAAAACTACTTTGTCCTTAATAAAGGATCACAGGATTCTGATGCTTTTCTCAAAGGATTTAATTACATACTAATTTTTAAATTTGAGATTAACAGCTTAATAGATGTAGAACCATTTAAAAATAGAGAACTGAGAGAAACTTAGCCTCATCTTTACCAAGTTCTCTACAGCAAGAAAGTCAGACAGTCTACTCACTCTAGAACAGACCACAACACTAGTTCACTGGGCCCTGGTCTTCATAGTCTCTTACTTGCCCTCATAAGGGAGAACTGGGCTTTTCTGCAGTTTGATGCAGTTGCCATCAAAGATTCTGACCTTGCTTTTTCTTATACTAATAGAAGTAAGAAGATGAGAGACCCTAACCTGAGAGCAGATGGTACCGAGTGTCTCCAAGCCAGCCACTGCACTCTGCTACTTCCTGAGGTAAGGTGGGCCCAACCACTGTCTTGGGTTGGTCTGTGTGTCCCTCCATTTTCTTCCTCTTCAGTCCTTAGTTCCTAACTGCCATTTAGGCACCTTCAGTTTGGCAAACTCATTATTAGGTCTGAGGTAAAGGAGAAGCCAGAGCAGGCCTCTGAGGACTTGGAGTCTCTAAGCCAAGCTTCTCCCTCCAAGTGAGCCTTGGGTGCTTAGCTGGTAAGCAGTGGATTTTATTTTTTCCTGTAAAGTGTGCTGTCTATGCTTAGAATCACCACCTTGGTAAATAGGAATAAAAAGTGGAGATCCATGAATTGAAGGTCATTGGATTGCTGCTACTGCAGGTCTCTGAAGAGCTCTGGCCCAATGAAACTGCAGGCAAATGGAAGGTGTCCTCGTGTGCCACCATCGTGATTACTTGAGTTATAGCAGGGCTCCAAAGAGTCCGTAATGACACCAGTGTTGACACATCCAAGTCTAAAGCCCAGCAAGTCTTGGGGGCAGTGACAATGAGTCAGTCGACTCAATATCCCTCACAGGAGAATTTGCTCTTTTTTTGCTTTTAGCTTAGAAGGATTATGGTCCCTGTCCCTTGGTTACATGTCCATCAATTTCTTTTTTCCTAATGGATAATCCTTGCTTATTTATCATGTTAGTTCTTTGACAATTTCATACATCTATAATATGGAAGGGCTCTTGCCTTTTGATAAATATTTTAAAATTTTAACCTTATTCAAACTCCGAAATGTTTTTTGAGATAGAAGTTTCAAAAAAGAAAAGTCCCTTTTCATGGACTGGATTGAGTTATTTCCAGGACCAGTCAGCACCGGGGGGATTTTGTTAGATGGCGCCCTTATCCACAGTGGGTCACAGAGGCGCACTCAGAACCCCTCCTCTTTCCAGGGAACTGAGGGCTCCTTCAGCATCGACAGCGAGGAGTATGAAGCCATGCCTGTGGAGGTGAAGCTGCTGCCCAGGAAACTGCAGTTCTTCTGTGACCCAAGGAAGAGACAGCAGGTGCTGCAGAGCACGTCCCAGTGAGCTCATGGCAACATGGTGCTCGATCGCAGGCTGCGCTTCCAGCCACCAGTGGGACCACAAGGGAAGGGTGTGCTTCATCTATTCCCAGAGCGTTATCACAGGAGCCCAAGGGAATTTTCTTGGCAAGTCCTCCTGACCCCTCTCCTGTAGTGCTTCCTAGCACATACACCCTGTTAACCCAGGCTTTCTTTCCTTGTGTTGTGATAGTTGACCCCTCCCCCAACACACACACATATAGCGAGGAAGTTCTTACACTCGGTGAGTTGGAAAGGGCTGGAGTTTTGTGATCTCCCCACAGTGAAGAGTAGAAAGTGTAGACTAAGCTACTTACCGTTCCAGTTTTTGACCGTCCTAGGGCATCCAAGGGAAGCAGCTGCCTCCGTCTGGGCTCTCTCATGGGTGCTGTTCCTCCATGGTCTCCACTTTGGTTGGTCTCAATCTGGAAAGGAGATGTGATGTGGTTGCCTTTTCCGCCATGGCTAACATTATAAAATGCCATTTAAAAACAAACCAGTGCTTCTTCATTGTTAGTTTGCATGTGTACTTCTGGGGCGCATGTCTGACTGACCTGGGACCCACCCCCAAACCATGTTCACCGTAAAAGGCTGCTGCTTCCCAGGTGAATCAGCCAGACCTGAAGAATGTATTTTAAAAAGACTTCATAAACTTGTGATTGCCCCAAGTGTATTATATATATTTTAAAAAAATCACGTATTCATGTTGTAACCGCTATCATTTTCCATGGGAAGTTAAGCACTTGTCAGTGTACTTTCTAGTGCTGTGTAAATACTGTTGTTTAAAAATAAAAGTGTTTCATCGTTCTTTTAAACATATCCAGTGTAATTTAAATGCACCTCTCATTTATTTATATAAATAAACTCATGAACTAACTCTTCGCTATTTGAAAATTTTAAATTATACTTTTTCTCCCTGTCAGCAAAGGGATTCTTATCATAGTTTTTTATGCTTGGCATTTTTTTTATCAATTTCTTTTCCTCAGCAAAAAATATAAGTCTAAATAACTTAAGTGCTAACTCATTATAAAACAACTATTTTAACAATTATCATTGCATATTGTTAGAAATAGTTATTTGAAGCAGTAATTAAAAATTATGTTATTAGAATGTTCTTGTTCATTTATCCACTATATAAATGTTATTTCTGGTGAGCCAAGGATATCCAGGATTAGTTAAATTCCTTTTTCTTTTTTTTATTATTTAGGAGCCCAGAAAGTAGATGGGCACAAGAACTGGAATTGTAACATCATTTTTAATGTTTTGAAATTAGTGGGAAAGCATACTGTTGCATTAAAATTAATAATGATCTTTCAACTAACAACCTGACTAGCTCTTCCTCTAGTCGGTTGCAAGCTGAGAACGGAAAACACTTGACTTCCTATAAGTAGTTCCTACCAGGTCATCAGTGCCCATTTACTTTCTTTTACATTCTTTTTTTAAAATTTTATTTTATGTGCATTGGTGTTTTGCCTGCATGTGTATCTGTCTGTGTGAGGGTCATATCTTAGGTTACTGTTGTTAGCTGCATTTGGGTGCTGGGAACTGAACCCGGTCCTAACCACTGCAGGTTCTCGCCAGGCCCAGTACCTTTTTCTTTTAATACTAGCATGAGCGCTTCCTTTGCTCAGAAGTCCTGGAACTCTAGAACGCCTGCACTGTATGAAATTGGTTTGTCATTGTGGCAGGGAAAGTGACACCCTCAGCAGCAGGAACTACAGGGAAAAAAAATTCAAATGTAAAGACAATAACATACCCATACATGTCCCACTGGAGTAAAATCAATGCATGAATAGAATAGACAGAACCTACAAAATAGCCCATAATTGAAGACCATAAAAAATAAGGTTTGCTTGTGGTGGTGGTAAGCGCTCTGCTTTAACAACAGATGAGTCTGAAGATGAGCATAAGTCACTTACCCTGTGCCAGCTGTGGAGGGAAAGAAAGGGGCTGCTGTGTTGTAAAGAAATACAAGAATCTGTGCTTTTGTAACAGTGCAAAGGACCAGCATAGAATCCAGTATTTGTTCTTGAAACGCTGTAGATAGCTGCACTTCTACCCATAACTGCCATGTGGTTAGGAAAGGATATGGGACCGCATTAAGAATTTTACTCACACGACGGGCATGGTGGTGCACGTCTTGAATCCCAGCACTCAGGTGGCAGAGGCAGGCAATCCGAGGCTAGTCTGGTCTACAGTGAGTTCCAGGAAAGCCAAGGCTGTTACTTCCCGGGGTATGGATCAGAATTTTACTTCCTAGTTTTCTCTAAGGAGTTGGGTTTTATTGTCTACTGCTTTGTTCTTTGGACATCCATAAAATGCACACATTTCACAACAGGTACACAGATGCTCAGCTCTACAAAGGAGACCATGGAGGTCACCTCTAGGCCTTTATACAAGCAACTGACATTTTAAGAACATTATTATAAGAACAATTATATGACCATTATAAAGAGCACTATTAGGTATGGCTGTCCCACTTAGAAAATAGAAACCTAGCTTTGCGACCAGTGTTACAATTCACTCTACACTGGTTTAAAATAACTCCTCCAAAGGTTAAACTGAAATACAAGTTTTAGAGGGTAAACACTTGCATATGTATCAATATATAATGCCACATAAAACTCTGATGAGAGAGTTCTGCAACAAAACAGCTTCTCTAGAGTCTAGAAGTTTCCTGTGGGGTTTGAGGGTCCACAGTTCTGGTTCTTTGACTTTAGTTTCCATTACCTGGAGGGTGCTTATCCAATCACAGTCTCTCAAAGGACTGGCTGCAGCTCCCCATGTCTGTCCTCATCCCTGTAAGTAAAAGCAACATTCAGCCCTTGGGCTCTTCTCACAGGCTGGGCCTTCATCATTCCTTCCTACCAAAAAAGTACTTGGTGAAAGATCACAGCACACAGGCTCATGTTAAAATGTGAACTTTAATTGTAAAAATTGGGGTTTTTTTTGTAAATATAGTTATTATCAACCTCTGCACATAACTTGGTTCAGATATATACAGGTAATGATATACACAGGTGTTACTTGTACCACGGAAAGAATCAATTCAAGAAACATTTACACTTAGCCTCAGGGTTAAGCCCAGCTTTCTTCAGATCTGTAAATACTACACAGTTGAAGAGACAGAGAGAGGATACATGGGTCTGTAGTAGTACCCAGAGCAAAACTTACCAATTATCCTTCTGACTTTGTCATATGAGGTAAAGGCTTGAAACAAAAATAGATTCGGGTTCTCTTATTGCTATAACTCTTAGGCTGGGGTTGTTACTCAAAATAGGTTTTTACATTTAAGGCAACAGGGACTTAGGTTTTAAAAAGAAAAAAAAAAAACTAGGAAAACAGATTTTCTTGGTTACAACTATTTGTTTCTCAGGCAAGGATTACATTCCAGACTTATATAAAAATCTAGCCAGCAAGTTTTGGACAATTAAAGGAAGTTGTTTTTTTTGTTTGTTTGTTCGTTTGACCTCCACCCGGAATCCCAGAAGCCACCCATGATGGCAGTTCAGGAGCCTAGAACCCCCAATTTCTGATGGCTGATGTGGACACAGCAAACTCAAAGTTCTTTTTCCTAACTTGTATATGTCTTTGTTTAATTTACCCAGATACAATGTCAATTAAATATATTTGCTCTGTATGGGCTTTTCACTTTGAAGTTCCATCTATGCACAATTTATAAAACCCTGTTCTGCCCCAGTCTCTTTAGGAAGCAATGTAAACTCACCGTCAGACTGAGAGGGTAGGCACCTGCTGCAAGGTAAATAAACCCTCTGCTGCAACTTTCAGAACTTAAGTCAACATGGTTCTAAGAGCCAGGGCCATGCTGAAATCCTAGAGTAAGTTCTACAGAGACGAAAGCAGAGTTTTATTTATGCCATCTTCACTCTCTATATAGCACCAGAAAATTCCTATTCCTTTTCTAAATTTACAACATCACCCAACTTCCAGGTGCTACAATGAATTAAAGTGCCGGTCAGAACCCACCCCCCCCCATTCCCACCTTCCACCCTGACCAAGAGGGAGCAGTCACTGAAGACTGCACTTATCCACTTCTGTCCTGGAGCTTCACCCAAGGTTGAGGCCCATCTCATCCTTCCCAGGCCAATCAGGGCTGCTGGAAAAATACATCACAGTCTCTGCTCACCCTTCAATACACTGCCACGGACAGCGACACTTCTAAGGGCCTCAGCTGCTACCAAATTACAAAGCTGCCCGTTTCTTCCCAGATTACAACTTTGCAATTCCTTTCCATTTCAACACTATAGTACTCAATTCACCACTCAGTAACACTGATATAAAAAATAGACTTCCGTTTCTCATAGGAAAAACATTACCTTAATTCACAGTCTTTTCTCTACAACAATCAGTACTCCAGTAGCTCCTGGGAACAGAGGTATATCAGCAATAAAGTGGAATAGTCAAAACCCATGACTTGGGTATAAAGAAACCTTCAGCACCCCCCTCCCCTACCTGAATCAGAAAAGGGTTTTCATGGGATGAGACTGGGCCTGCTGAGGTAAGCCCATAGGCCCATAGGCTCCACCATGGGGTTGAGCAGGTATGGGGGGCGGAGATGGGAGCTCTCAGAATCATAGCCTGGAAGCCTAACGGGAATACAGTGACCCCTAGAGGGCCTGTCGTTCTTCCTACAGGTGTCCTTGTCAGCTTTGAGACTCTTCTCATGGAAAGGCAAGTTCACTGTGAAACTCAGCGTTATCCTACAGTTCCATCCGCCCACACCCTGTATCCCTTCTTTAGCACTGCACAGACCGTTGCACTGAACCTGGAGAGCGCACCTCAGTTCACTCTCTGCTTGCGCAGTTTAAGGGAAAAGATGGTTCCTGAGTACCCGCAGCTCTAGGAGGCTAGTGTTGGCCACCAGAAGGCTAATTTGCTACCACCCTTTAAAGATCTCTAGCAAGTCCCAGTGGAAGGCTGACTTCATGCCCCTTGCCACCAGAAGGAACACAGCAATTAGCTATGATTTAATCTGCCTTTCTCTTCTAGCTAGCATGTGTTAAATAATTAGGTATATTTACCTTCCCATGAAGCACTAGGCACTATTAGTATCACTCTCACCTTTCCTGTGGTTTTCTATGGCTTCCAGCAAAGTAAGTTCCTATCCTATTCTGTCACAGCAGTGAAAACAGCTTCTCTCCCACAGCCAAGGAGGGTGGGAGGTGGGGGGGGGGGCAAATGCTTCCTGTCACATTTTACTCCTAACTAGCAGGACCATATGGTCCCCAGGTGGGACACTACTCGCCTGGACCCGCGCCCAGCAGAGGGAAGGCCTCACAGTTAAAGCCAAAGCTAATACCAAGCAATGACTTGGCCCTCCCTCCTTTGAAGACTGGTAGGAGATAAACTCTTACTCCTCCTGGAGAAAGAGTCCTGAGCCAATCAGCCGGTTAATATTACCTACCATCTGCTAACAAAACGGACAACATCCACTTTCAGAGGTCTTTGCTATACGTATATTTAACATGCATCCCACAAATCTAAAACCCAGTTTCAGGCCCCCTGAGGACTGTTGCCATTTGGAATCTCTTCTAACATAAAAAATGCCCGAGTGGCCAGCAGTGCAAGTCAGCAAATGCTTCCTGATTGGCACAGGGTTCCTAGAATGGTACAGATGGGGTTTAGTGCTCCCCAGAGGTCTCTGCCAGCTTAGGCAGGGATCCAATGAGGGCCACCAGCACAGTGGCAGGACCCAAGTCTGAATTTTTAACCCTGGCCCCTAGTGGCCAGTGGTAATAATAATGCCTGACTAGGCTGATGGTTAGACCTAGAAAAGTTCTGAAGGATGTGAACTAACTTCTTCCCAATCAAACCAGGTGGTTCTTCAGAAAGTATTTCAAGAATGACAAAAAAGCAAATCCTGTGGCTCCTAGCTTCTGCCATCACTGTACAGGGATTTCCTGGATCGTTCTACACGAACTACCTCCCTTTGTAGGGAACTCCCAGCATAGGAGGCAGGCTTGCATCTGCTCACGGCCGCTGGGGGAGCAATCTGGTGTGAAGTCTAAGACACTCCGAAGCTGAGAAACGGAGGTGCTGACATACATGCACGCTGCTGACCCCAGGAGGAAGCCGCAAGGTAGGAAAGGATTAAAAGACATGTTGAACAAGTTCTGCTCTGGGGTCAGCTAAGCCCAGAACCTATGACCTAAGTAAGACATGGCATGGTCTCAGGGTTGTAGTCCCTCTGGGGCCACCCATACACTGGCCCTCTGCATGGGTGGGTGGGTCACTAAGAGACCACAGGAAAACAGCTGCTTAGTTAAAAAGGGCCCACACGGCCCAACTGAGCAAAGGACAACCATTCTCACCCTTGCCATCTGTAATCTTCACATCAGGTCTTCCCAGCTCCCAACTACAACAGCACAGGAAACAGTGTTGGCGAGCACAAGGTTCTGGGGAGGTTCTCAGAAATGGGCTTTTCCTATCTCTGGCTATCTATCTACCCCCAACAGCTCTTAGAGGTCACCAGAAGAAGTGTTGTTTCATCAGCATCAGGTGGTCCCTGCTCAGTCAGCCCTGGGGCAAGAGGAGAAGGAAGCCATAAGGAAAAAGCAGGTAGAACTTCAGCCACTGAGCACTGCTATGCTTTCTGTAAACATGTTACTGGAATGATGGCTAAACCCACATTGCAGAGGAGAAAAATCTATTAGCTGAAGAGTTTATGTCAGTGCCTAAATTTATTTATATATTTACAGAAAAGATGTTACCCTGACTCATCAGTGTGTTTGCATTTCCACACACAGGCAAATCTCATCACTCTTGATTTTTTTTTTTTTTTAAATAGGAAACTACAGTGAAAATACTTGTTAAGCAGCAACCCTCAAGAACCTAGAATTGAGGGAGATAAGAGTCACAGCCCCTCCATTTGAAGTCCTCTCTGCTGCAGACATCAGCCTGGCTGCTCTCTGGCTACAGACATGATGTCTGATGGCTAGGAAGAGCCCAGGAAAAGATGCAAGATCTCAGTCAAAATCTTTAAGGAGACTCGCATTAGAACTGGCTTTCTGAGTATGGTTAACAACTACCTCTCACATAGTGTCATCTAGTAACTTAGCAGTCACAAGTGACCCAGCCCCAAAGAACAAGTTGAATCCCATCCTAGACCAAAGAAAGTGGGGCAGGTTGTTAGTCCGTGGTTTCCAGCTACTCTCTTGGCAGGGGAGGCACCGTTGAATTTTCCCTGTCAAATCTGTTAGACCTATGGATCCAATTGCTTAGCCTAAGGGATGTTGTCTCTGTGAAAGACAAGTCTATGGGAGTTCCAAACTGGTTAAGAGAGCTGTTCACACCACATCCCAACCTCTGAGTCAACCAGCTCAGACCTTGGCTACATTTCAGAATCCACTAGAAGTTTCTGCTTCAGGACTGCAAACAATCTTTCCAGAGAGCTCTCAGAGAAACTTGAGGTTTCCTCCCTTGCCTGTTTGAACCTGTTTTTCCAAGGAGGTATTCATCCCTCAAGAGACACAGATGTCAAACGAACGGCTTGTAAACTGTAAGCTCCAGGGCCAGCAGCAACCATCACCAACCCATCCCAAGGGATTGGGATGCAGGAGGGGGGTGGGGTATGTTATACTGCTACCATCCCCTCGATGTAGGAAGGATTTTGAGGAGCCTCCTTTCCCTGCCATCCTGCCAGAAACATTGTTTCCCTTCTCTGGTCCCTATACCAGTCAATCTAAAAGATGCAGAGCAGACTTGCCCTAGGACAAACAGGTCATCCTAATCTGACTCTAGACCCTGGTGACCCTGAAAGGTTAGCTGATTAGTTTCTAAGGCCACAGCCGGCCACATGGTCATCTTCTTCTTGTATGCTACAAAGGACTAAGATATACAGATTTTCCCAACAGTTCAACCCAGAGTTTGACTCACTCTGACTGACAGATCTCATCAGACTAAACCCAAAGAAACAGTCTTGGAAGACAGTAGATTCCCATGTACAACCCTTAAAGGCTACAAAACCCGGGTGGCCTCCCCTCAGCCCGGGGCTGGGGGGAGAAGAAAATGGCAAAAATTACATGTATTGGAAAGTAGAAACAGTCCTTTGTGTCAACTTAATTAAAACTGAAGCTGCTGAGGGCCTGGGGTACACTCCAGGCTCCTGTCACCCCAGATGAGCCAGCAGTCCTTTTACTCTTCCTATGGACAACAGGGGTTATCAATGACCAGCATGACATCGATGCCATAGGCCTCCAGCAGGTCCATAAGAAAGCTCCTGTCTCCCTGGGGGTCCAGGCCCATGCCTCGGGCATGTTCTGCTGTTAGAGTTTTGTCTTGACTGGCAGATACCTCCAGGAGAGTTTGAAAAATCCGGTTGTTTTGCTCTAGGAAAAACCTGCATTGCCGAGACAGGAAAGGGAGAGAAGACAAGGCGAAACTGTCAACCAGATAACCCAAACATGATGAGCCCAAACTATGAAAGCTTTCCAAACTAAGTCTAACGATTTTTAAAGGGAGTAAAAGTTAAACTGTTATCAGAGTGTGAATGATGTCAGCAAGAGAACTATAGGGCAAGAATCGCCGTTTGACAGAAAAGTCCGTAGGAATGATGGCTTGACTATTTTCTTGTTTTCAACATAGCCTCCCAGAGAGGCTCCATGACACCTTCTCTCCCTCTGTGTAATCATCGGGAAGAGGGTGAAAACTCAGAACCTTATAAATCAGTTCTGAGACTCAGACTTCAAGGGAGAGACTGAAATGAAATTTTTCCAAACCCTGATGGGACCCACTAAAGTTGGTAGCCAACAAGCCTCACTGGGACTCTGCACTGGCCTTGTAGCCCTAGGTCACAGAAAGGGAGAGCTCAGAGGGGCTGGAGCAGGCACAGGGAAGTTCTAGAACCAGCATGGGGAGCTGGGGGGTGGAGGGGGCCGAGGCAAGCTACACTAACTGAGAACAACACAGCTCACAGCCCTCAGGGTGTTTGCTCTCTCTGGGGAGGGGCATCTGGAGGAAGATTATACATTAAAACAGGATTTCAAAGTCACAACTTTACAGTCATGGCTGAATAAGTAAATGAGCTGTGTTTAGAAAGGCATCAATCCAGCCATGCTGTTTAGGGGTTCAGGGGCTTCCACAGACATAGCAAAATGGCGTGTTTGTCATGCCTTGACAAGACTGTGTCTGCCCATACACACAGTGTGTGTGCATTAGAAAGCAGACTCAAAAACAAGATAAAATTCTGTGGAAATGCCCTCATCAAAGCTAGGGACTCTCAGGGAGATTTGTTTCTGCTTCAGTTACAAGTCGGCTCTAATTCTGAAACAGGACTTCCTGTGGCTACTTGAATGCAATGGGTGTTGAAAGGAGCCAGCCTTTTCATGGCGACCAGATCTGGAGGAGGGAGATTAAATTTCCAGATGATCTCATAATACTCAGCACAAGGAACTGGTCTTTTCTGAGGAGTCAATGAAGGAAAGAGTGGAGAGACAGACAGCTGTGTGACATCCCTGGATGCAAATGGTCAACAAGGTGCATGTTCAGGTTTTCTCTAGGACCTGCCCCTGTCTCTCCAGCAGCTCTGGGTCCACCCTGATGGGTTTGCAGGACTTGGGCTACCTCTAAGGACCAATCCCTGAGAACCGCGAGAATAATAATGGACATCCTGAATTGCAGTGGGTTGCATGGAAGGGAAGTAAGTTGTCTGTCCATAGAAGTTAGCACTGGAAGGATTCCCAGAGCCCCACGGCTGCTGCCCAGGCCAACTCACAGCACAAAGAGGTCTTCTTCACAAGGGTTGTAGTCTCCCTCAACTTCCTGTGAGTACAACAGCATCTGCCTGTTACAAAGAAGAACACTATCAGTGACTTAGCAGCAACCAAGCAATGTCCATATCTCTCGGGAAGCAGCATCTGGCAGCTGGTGCCAGGCCAGAGACTGAGAAAAGAAGGAACAAAGTTTGGACTCAAACCCAGGATCTATGGCCCATTTTGCCAGTGGTACCCCATTTATATATATATATATATATGCTAACTAACCGAGCTCTCCTAGGATAAACAAAGAATTGAGAGTTAAATGAGTTTCCCAGTGGCCCCATACCATGTAGATGCCCAATAGATGGCTATTCCAAACATAGATGAGCAAATCTAAAGGTCATCTTTTGGGGTGTTTCTAAAAGCTAGTGTTGTAACTGTTCTTTCACAGGGTTTCGAATTCTCAAGCCCATCAGAAATGACCCATGCGTGTCTGCTACCCTGCAGTGAGGACAGTATACAGGAATGTCAGCCTCTAAAGCACAAAACTTCCCTTGATATCCGGCCCCTGCTCCCCATCCCCCACTTGTAGGAACGTTCAAGGAAAGGGGTGACAGAATAGGCTTTTCACAGATTTCGCAGGACCATCCTGAAGAGGACGGTGCTCCTGAGTCTCTGGTCGTTTTAGCACAGTGCTGGCCTGGGCCGCACTCACTAGCACATGGCATGGAGATGGCGAACCAGCACTCTCACCTCTGCTCGTTGAGCCGACGGTATTTTTCCCTGTCTGCACTGTTGATCTTCAACAGGGGCTGCAGGTGGTCATGGTGTGTCTTCACGTTCTGGTTATCCACATAGACGTCATACAGCTCCCGCTTCTCCTCAAATATCTTCTCTGTGGTGCCTGTGGAGCCCAGGGTTAATGAGGCAACTCCAAGGGGGCGAAAAGAAAGCCACCTCAGCCCTACTATAGAACCAAGAGTCCAAGAGCCTATTTCTGAGAAGCAAGGGTTTGGACACAGGAAGAGGAGGGAAGGAGAGGGCCCCATACTCACAGGCTACATAGGACAACTCAACTTCCAGGCTCTCAATGTCAGCCACGTTCACATAGAAGAAAGGCTTCGACTCAGGGATGGTGCCCCCAATGCCAGGCAGTGAGACATTGGCCAGACAACAGCAACAGTACACTGGAAGACGAGGGAACAGAAGTGAGTTTTCCTTTCTGCTCTCTCTCCTCCACCCAAGACCAAGCAGGTCAATACCTCCAAAAGTTGACCTACATGGAACATTCTGCTACATTCTGTTGTTTGTTCTTGCCAAACTCCACACTGAGGCTTGGTCCCCAAAGGAGTAGTACTGAGAGATGCAGGTCTTTAAGATGGACTTAACACCACAGAATCAGTTATCTCTAGAACATGTTACAAAGCGAGTCTGCGCCTTCCCCCACACCACCCTTTCATATATGAGCTCTTCCTCCATGGGACCTTCAACCAGATGCCAACATCATTCTTGTGGACTCTCAGAACCTTGAGCCCAAACAAACCTCTTATGAATCTCCAGCCTCAAGTGTTTTGCTAGGGCAAAGGGAAGTTGTCTCAGAAGCTGGGGAGGGTCTTGTTTGTGCTACCTGTCCTGTAACCAGGTTGTTATGAAAACCGTTGCAAGCCCCCCTGCAGAACTTGATACCCCCAAGGTCTCATCAGTCATTTATCAGCAAACAGCTGTTTTCTCAATTTCTCTCACTGGCCTGACTTAGACTTTGGCTCTGCTGACATTCCCCCTCAATACCCTTGTCCGCTGGAGACTCCCATCCTCTGGTCCTCCTCCTCCATCATCTCCTTCATTGTCCTGTCCTTGCACCACTATCTGCCAACCCCTTCCACCTGACACCTTCCCTCCTCACACTCCCTCCAGGTGATGCTGGGTGTCCCGAGGTTATTACATAGGCTTTATGTCACTCTCACACCTTCCCAAGCCCTACCCCAGGTCTTCCCCCCCAGGACTGATGGACACCTCCCTGGAAGTGTCTCAAGCAGCACACACCCAAACTAACTCCCCACCCCTCCTTGCTCCCCCATCCAGAGATGGGCCCACCATCTCTGTCATCTATAGGGGAAGCTGTAGCCACACCTTCTTAGGGGCTGGCTACAGGTGTGCCTGACCATGCTTGTGAGGGCGTGGTCAGAGTGACATAGTGTGACTGCGGTTTGCGCTTTCAGTCTCTCTTTTGGGCTTGCGTACAGACTGCTGCCACACCGGCTGGCTAAGTCGCTCTGTAAGTAAGGCTTTTCCCTATTAAATACCCTTATATTTCTACCTGACTCCGTATTGGTAATTTCCCACTATAGTCATCCTAGACTCTTCCTCTCAACTGCATCCCTACAAACTTCAGACAACTCATCCAGTTTACCTCTTCCCTAAAATCCATCATCTCTGCTTCCGCCCAGACCCTGATCTGAAGGTGCCGCCCCTACCCAGCTTCACTGCCTCTAGGCACCACATTCTGAAATACAAATCTAACCAGAGGCCTTGATCCCACTGATATAGCCCAAACTCTTCCTAACTTGCTTAACAACTGAAGGACTAGAGCATATGTACCCAGCATTTAGGAAGAGCCTCTCATTTGGGCTTCTAGTTACCTCTGTAGCACACGACGCCCACGGGTGGGGGAGAAAATATCAGAATGCGCTTTCGGAGTAAGGCAAACTTCCAAAGAATGAGGATTTGTTCTCCAAAGAACTTAATAAACTGAGACATGCAGCCAGCCGGGTGTGTGATCTGGAAACACACAAGGGCAGGTGGACAGCTCGTTAGAGGTTGTCACTGTGCAACAGCCTTCTGTGGAAACTCCAAAGTATCATCGAGCATTAAGAGATAGTTGCTTCCACACAAAAATGGTACCTGGTGCTTGATTTCTTGGATTGTCAGTTCCCCTGACAGAATGAAGTTTGAATTTAAGGACTACAAACACTTTACTCTGGAGAGAAGTGCAGAGGAAACAGCTGGATTTTATTATTTAAAACTCAGCTGTTTGGAAGCCAGAGGGATGATGCGATGGTTCAGCAGGCTGAATGTACAATCATGACGACTGGAGTTCAGATCACAGCACCACATACAGTCATCCCACAAACCCCTGCAACTCCAGATCCAAGGGATCTGAGCTCTCCTCTGGCCCCAAGCACACGTGTGCCTGCATGTGTACATGGGCTACAAAGGCAGGAGCAGCACTGCTGGAGTAGGTGTGGCCTTGTTGGAGGAATAGTGTCACTGTGGAGGCGGGCTTTGAGGTCTCTATATGCTCTATTGCCTGCAAGATGTAGAACTCTCGGCTCCTCCTCCAGGACCACATCAGTCTGCACACTGCCATGTCCCACTATGATGATAATGGACTAAACCTCTGAAACTGTTAGCCAGGCACCCCACCTAAATGTTTTCTTTGTAAAAGTGGCCACGGTCATGGTGTCTCTTCAGAGCAACAGAAGCCCTAATTGAGACACTATGTAATCACTGTGCAGCACTGTCTGCAGAATAATGAGAAAAAAGCCCGGATGTGCTCAGTACAGATGTGCTCTGTGTGTGTGGAGACAGAGCCAAGAACACAGGGCTAGGTTACACTACTTCCAGTGCTGAGATTTTGTCCAAGCCCTTTCTGCGTTATAAACAGAAGTACTGGCCTCCCTGGCTCCCCATACTTCACCTTGCTCTTGGGCCATATAGGCATCAGTAACCAAGTATCCGTTCACTCCTATTTTTCTGTCTCCACATAATATGTATACACATAATATGTATATTATGGTTTTGCCTGACACTGTGGTTATTCAGCAAAGTGTGATCGTAGTATGTGCAATTTTCTGCCCTTGCGACCCTCACATGAGAGAGACCTGGTGACCTTTCCTGTCATCATCTTATGCTCTGATCTATTAATCACAATGGCTGTTTACTATATGGACATCCTAGCTGTCTACTACTTGACATGGTCACATGTATAAATGAATGTGTATATATGTGTACACACATGCACACATATATAATCCTGGTGTTTTCATATCTAAAGGGTAGATCCCAGCAGTGGGGCCGCTTAAATAAAAGGAACCTTTATTTTTGATTTTAACTGTTGACATGCTGTTTTCTGGAAATGGAGACCTCCACACATTTGTAACTTCAGCCTATATGAGTCCCTTCCCACCGCATCTGTGAGGGTCTGATGGGTCAGTTAATGAGTTGCCTTTAATGGGCAAAGCCCTTGGCAATGAGATCTTCTCGTTTGTCCCTCTTTGCCCATGGGGAGAGGAGGCCAGGAAGGCTCAGGTCAGATGTCTGCCACCTTGCCCTGGGTTTTGGTGACAGCTGAGTAACATTCAAAAGGGGAGGGCAGTGTTCAGATCAATACACTCCCCAAACCCTTCTGATCAGCCTTTGCCCCTTACTGACTGTCTCAGCCATGTCACAGGGCCAGGAAATCTTCATGCTATGTCTTCAGGACTCCTGGGCCACCTAGTCTTGTCAACTTTTTCTAATGGGAAGTCATAACTTCAGGAGTAAGGGAGGACTTCCCTCAACTTCTAGATGCTGCCAGTGCTTCTTTCTCTAGCAACAGTGAGTGCCTCTCACACCAGCTTCCAGCCTCTCAGCGCCTCAGAGGCACAATGCTTCCCTCAGAGATGCAAACACAGGCTGTGCAAGGCCCTCCTTCCTGCTCCCAGGTCTCCGATTCCAATGTCCCTTCTCCTGTGCCCGGCCCTAAATATGGCAAGCTGCATCAAAGGTAACCCCCATGGCCCTGGAATTTACAGCCTTGTACAGCCCCCCTTCCTCTTGAGGAACCTGCTTCTAACTAAGAGATTAAAGCTACACTGCAGGCCTTTCACTTCTAAGATTTGGTTACAAAGAATTCTGACTTAATTTTGCTAATAGTCTCTTTTTTTGCTGACCTTGTTGAAGCAAACTGCCAGGCTGGAGAGTCCTACGTGGTGGTGAACTGATGGAAAACTTTAATAGAGGCCTTAAGAAAGTCAAGTGTAGCATCCCTTAAGAAACCTGATCCTGTCAACTCCCTTATGAACTTGGAAAAATGGATATTTGCCCAGTTGCCTTGTGCTGAGACCTTAACCGAAGTCTCTCGTAGCAGATCCTAAATCAGCTAAGCCATGACTGGAGTCCTTGTTCACAGAAACTGTGGGATCACATACATACACTACTTCAAGCTTTTAGTCTGGGTAGTTTGTTAGGCAGCAATAGCTGGCCAAATGAGGGGTAGAACCGTGTTCTCTGCTTGCTCCTCAGCCTTCTGACTCCTATACTACTGAGTTCCTGTCTTGAATTTAGTTTAAATGCCTAACATACTCTCTCAGTTTGCTGATAAAAATCTTACTTATTACTATTTTTTTTCTTATGGCCAAATGGCATTACAAATTCAATCTCATTTAATGAATCTTCTCTTGGCCCATGAGCATGTCTGTGTTTTCTTGTCCATGTCTCTGCAAAAGCAGAGGAGGGGTAGGGACCGAACACTGCTTTGGCACAGTCCTGTGTTTAGATTTTGCTGGTCTCCTAGCTGTAAGGCCTAAAGCAAGTCACTGAAGCATTCATTGGTAATCCTTGATTGCTTTAAATAGAAAACAAGCATAAAAAAATTAAAAATAAAGGCCAGGTATTGGTGGTGCACGCCTTTACTCCCAGCACTCGGGAGGCAGAGGCAGACGGATCTCTGTGAGTTCGAGACCAGTCTGGTCTACAGAGCGAGTTCCAGGGCAGCCTCCAAAGCCACAGAGAAACCGTGCCTCGAAACTGCCTCCCCCCCAAAAAAATAAATGAATAAAACATAACACTTTTCTTTAAACCTTACTTTAAAAGAGTCTTGCAATGGGTACTGATAAAGTTAATAGATTAGCATAATGCCTAACTTATAAGATATGCTGAAAAAATAGAATCATGCTTCCCGATCCACAGCAAATTGGTGTGGAATTGGCACCCCTTCTTACCCACACAGCCAAATGCTTTTGTCACCAACTCCTGTCCTGTGATGTTCTGAATGAAAATGGCCCCCACTGGCTCACTGGAAGTGGCACTATTAGGTGGTATGGCCTTGTTGGAATAGGTGTTGCCTTGCCGGAGAAGTGTTGGAGGTGGGCTTTAGGGCAAGTATCTGTCCCTTTAGGGCCACTGTCTCTTCCTGCCACCAGGCTTCCCGCCATGATGATAATGAACTAAACACCTCTGAACCTGGAAGCCAGCCCCATTAAATGTTTTCCTTTATAAGAGTTGCATGGTCATAGTGTCTCTTCATTCATTAGAACTCCTAACTAAGCCTTGCCCCATAAACTCATGCATTCTTTCTCTCCAAGAGGAGTGCAAAGTTTTCACTGAAATACCTTGTGCTCAGCCACAGGAGAAGGAGGAAGAGGAAGCAGAAACTCATATTCTTAGGCCCTTTTATATCTGAACGCCTACTGCAGGGCAGATATGTTGTCAGTGTTAGACAAACATGCTAGTACAAATGCAAAGGGTGCTACAAAAAAGTCCCAATGAAATAATGTCGAAATAACATAGCCAAGAAATGCCTTGTCTGCTCTTCAATCTCTTCATCTTTAGTTCAGATGCTTGGCTTTAAAATAGCAGAAGCAACCAACACAATCAAAAGCATCTTGCATCCTACGAGTCCCAGCATATATGGCTTTGTGCTGTGATTGTAGAAGGCTCTCGATGGCATATTGTTCAAGGTAGATTTGCCTTATGTTCTAAGTGAACCCAAATGCTTATGTTTAACACAATTTTATCAAAAGCAAAATTCTGCACAAGGCTGAGGTGCAATTTCCTTATTATTTAAAAACTAAACTACAACAACTATTGCCAGATATGTGAATGGCCAGCCTCACCTTCATCTCGGGGTACATGTAGCGGTGGATGGAAGGCAGCCAGTAGACGGGCGGCAAACTGCCACCCCTTCCAGGGCCGGCGTGGAGCACCCCTTTCTTGTCCTCATAGAATGCGGCCAGATGAGAGTAATGTCCCGGCATCTCCAGCTGGTGTCTGTGTAACACACGCGCACAGTGAGCGGCTCTGCCCAGCACAACTGTACATCTTTACCCAAAGAGCCAAAGGCCCAGATGCACCTGCTAATGTTAAGCTCTTTCTGCAAAATTCAAACATGAGGCCTGAAACTCCTCCTCGGCACCATGTAACACATTCAGAACAAGCAGGCTATATGTTAAGCAAGCTATGCTGCTGGTCACATGTGCTTCTCAGAGCACTGTTTATTGTGGGAAGAGAGAACATGGAAGACCACACACTCCCTGCCTAGCGTGTAAGCGTGCTTGTGCTTGGTGCTGTCAGAAAGAACGGGGAGAAGCTGAGCCCTTGGTGTCCCAAAAAAGGAAATGTTATGACTGAAGGGGGCTCACACTTTCACATCAAGTAATAATGTAAATGAAACAGAAACACACACACACACACACACACACACACACACACACACACACGTGCACGCACTGCACTCCCCTCTGTCTCCTCCTGTGCTCAGGCCTTTTCAACCTACCCTTAGACCAAGAAAATGGCACTGAGGTCCTAGACCATTTGGGCAATGCAGAATCCTGCCTCCAAGCCAAAGCATATTTAAAGGAAATATTAGAAGTTGACTTGTGTTCCCTCCCTAGAGATATGCTGGAATCTCGGCCTTTACCTCAGTACCAGTATCAGCTTCATTTGGATGCTCTTCACAGAGGCAATTATGTTAAAGAGAGGTTATTTTGAGGGAACCCCGATTCATTGTGACTTAAAAGGGGAGAATTCACATACACTCACAGACATGTGAAGATGGGGGCAAACACTGAGGTGATGCAGATGCCAAGGAACCCAGAGACTGCCAGGAAAGCACAGAGCCAGGAGAGACAGGCTTTCTTCTAAGCCACCCCATTACAGATACTGTCAGAGTGTCCCAGCAAATCAATGTAAGGATGAAAAAAATGCCCTCTCAACCCTGGTTTATTTTCCAGTGACCACCAAACAATTCAAAAGAAGCTTTGAGGTAAAAAGAGGCATTACTGATTATAGCTGGAAGAACACTGACTACAAATAGACAACCCCAGCTCCTCCCATCCACTAACCTGACCTGAGACCTATTCCACGTTGTAATTCAAACTGCTCAGAGTAAAATTTCCACTGAAAAGGTAGTGCCAAGGGCGACTTCCCAGCACTCAGTGACAAGATGATGGCAAGAGACTGTGCACAAATTTGAATTAAAAACAGTAACATCACATCATTGCACTTAAAAGATATTATTACTGCTGGACATGGTGGCCCACGCCTTTTATCCCAGCACTTGGGTGGCAGAGGCAGGCGGACCTCTGTGAGTTCAAAGCTAACACAGTCTACAGAGAGAGTTCCCAGACAGGACTACACTGAGAAACTGTCTCTAAAAAAAAAAAAAAAAAAGTGTGTGTGTATTAGCTGTGTGTCACTGTGTATACTTACAATCCAAGAACAGGCTGAGGCAAGGGAATCATAAATTCAAGATCAACCTGGATTACACAGTGCCTCCCCTCAAAGAAAAGTTTAGGAAATAATTACAAAAAAATAAGTGCCTCTCTCTAATTTTAGGGGTCTGAAAAGCTTTGCTTCAGGAGACAGCCATGTGCTAGCAATGACGAAGAGACACAGGGCACTCCTGGGCTGGACAGGAAACCCTTGGTGGCTAAAGTCCGGCCAGCTGTTCTGACAAAGCTGTTCTGCAGTTACTTACTCTTCGGGGAAATGTGACAAGTCTGATAAACAGGTAAAGTTCAAACGTGTTTGAGTTAAGATCCATTTTCCCTTAAAAGCCCTGGAGAATCTATATATTCTGTCTTAAAAGAGGTAATTTATCCAGGGTAATTTAAATCATGCACCTTCGTTTTCGGTTTGCTGATTTGCTACTCGATTGCTGACCTTTACTCTTTGACTACAGTCAACACTGTATTTGGACCCAGATTCTACAGAAACAGTCAGTGCTATGGGTCTTTTAGGCAGAAAGCTAGAGACAAAGTAAAGTGCTTTTCCACAAAGCCTGATCCCACTCCCCCACACACAGATAAATGTGGAGATGTAAAAAGAAAACAGTTAACGTCAGGACTCTGCCCTTCGACAGCCGAAGGTATCACTGCCAGCTGGGACAGAAGGTGGCAGTAACAGACAATATAGGCCAGAACACAGAAGCTCAGGCTCAAACAGAAATTCAGAGATGAATGTTATCCAACTGTTGTGTGGAAGCCTCGGAGTTTAAACACACTGTAGATTTTGTAATCGATCAAGTCACAGCACCAAGAGAATCTAAAGGAGCAGTGGAGTGCCAGAAGACACGGTGATTGTCAAAGAGGGAGCTGATGAGGCTCAATAAGGGCAGGTAAATTTAAAAAACTACGCAGTGAAGTGCATACCATGCCAGCCATGCAAACAGTGCAAGACTCCTGCTGTAACCAGGGGGGATAAAGGATTCAGCGTGCGCTGCTGATATGAAGCCCCTACTGTGTGAACCAGATGAAGGATTTCCCTGTAGAAGCAGCCACACTAGGGTTCTCTTGAGGCCCACAGCCCCCTGCACTGGCTGAGGACATGTAGCTATGCAGATACCCTGTACAGAGACCCTACTACACTCTGCAGTAATCCATCCACTGTAAGAACCAGAGATGCTCTGCGAGCAACCACACTTTGTCAGTCTGGTGTAGTCCTTACTGGTCTGAGCCAGTCTGTCACTGGGCTCTGTAAATTCAAAACCATCAGGCATTCCCACTTACTGCTGGTTCAGGGGGAAAGTATCACCACCATTCTGAAGGTGTGCCAAACTTGTGTCAAACTGCACACTGACCCAATGTCTAGGAAACTGCCCTAAAGAGCTATTGATGAATGTGAATTTACTCAAAAGATGATCATGTCTATAGGTGCAAGAAGTAAGTGATGATCTTAAAGCCCAGTGACAATGGAATGGTTAAATAAACCCTCTATCACCCCTTCTGGCATGCTGTGAAGCTGCCAGGACAGTGGGTTTGATATATGGGCAGAGAGGTACGGTTTCTGAGGATTCTTTTTTTTTTTTTTTTTTCTGAGCCAAGGTCTCTCACTGGCCCAGAATTTGCCTAGTTGGCTAGGCTGGCTGGCCAGTGAGCCCTAGAGATCCACCTCTCCAGTGCTGGGATTACAAGCATTCCGCACACCTGGCTTTCTCTTACACACAAGTGGTGGTGGCTGAACCCAGAGCTACAGCCCGTGACATCAGAAGTCAGAGTGACTTTAAAGGCAGACGAGGTAGTGCAGAATCAAGTCTAGTTAACTTACACAGAAGTCACTGTCCCACCTAGACCTGACTCTCTTCTTTGCTCACGCCCTGTTATCAAAGTCTCCTCTTGGCTCTAGTTGCTTTAATGAGCAAGGGAAAAATGACACGGAAGCTCCCAGTGTTCCCACGTGAGAGCTCCTCCACTGCAGAACGAGAAGGGCAGAGTACAAACACACAACATGCTTTCTCTTGTATGACAGGGAGAACAGCAGGGATGTTCAGTTGTATGCATGCATGCATACAAACAAATGTATCAATTTTAGAAGATGAGCAATTAATAGCGATAATAGGGTTGTTGGGTGGATGGGACAGCTGGGGAAAGTCTATAGTTCATGACACTGATAGAGTGACTGCTTTCTTCTTCCTTAAGTATACAGAACCTCCAACTTTTAGATGACTTCACCCTTTCCGGAACTACAGGCCCCCAGACTTCCTACCATGGGGTATGGCCAGCAGCCAACAACGAGCCTACGGAATGTGTGCAGAAGTGATGTGTTCAAGTTGAGATCTGTGCATCAATCTCTCTCCTTACTGGTTGACAGGCCACATGATAACAGTGAGTCACTTTCCACCATCACACTAGGAGATGGGTAAGATGGAAGGACCTTGCTCCAGGTACCACCCACACTGGAGCCCTTCTCTCCATCTGGTCTGGGACACCTGTGCTGGAAAGCTCAGTTCGGACTTGTTTGAGCCACTTATTTTGGGGTCTACTCTCTGTTACAGTAACTTAGCTTCTATTCTAGCTAAAGCAGATGTTGGTACCCAGAAAATGGGTTGCTACAGAATCAAAAAAACATTAGCTTTAGAAGCTGAAGATGAGTGATTGAAAAAAAAAATGCTGTTCAGGAAGAGAAAGCTGGTCATCTCTTAAAATCCACTGCTTGTAAAGCTGGGAAAGCCAACCTCTCTGTACCCAAAAGCATTTATTCTTCTTGCTCACTCCAAAGTACTCTTGGGCAGATGGGGGGAGGGGGAGGGGATCAGACTATAAGGATAACATGTAAGATACAGGGAGTTACCCTGCAAATGAAGGAAAGACAGACAGCCAAAGGACATGGACTAGCTTAGGCCCCATCAACTTAAACTATGACCCAGGAACTGTAGAGTTGGTTCAGGGGTTAGGAGCGATGGCTGCACAATCATGAGGACAGCAGTTCATATCCCATTACCCATTTAAAAAGCCTGGCATCCTATACAACTGCAAATTAAAAGGCCAGCCTGGTCTACAAAGCAAGATTCTTAACTACACACACACACACACACACACACACACACACACACACACACACAGTTTATATACAGTATCTATGCCAAGTACACACATGTACACACACACAATAGTATATATACAGTATCTACGCCAAGCACACACACACACACACTAGAATATATATATTATCTATGCCAAGAAGACACACACACACACACAGTAGTTTATATACAGTATCTATGCCAAGTACACACATGTACACACACACAATAGTATATATACAGTATCTACGCCAAGCACACACACACACACACCCACACACACACACCTAATAGTTTATATACAGTATCTATGCCAATTACACACACATACACACACACAATACACACACAATACACACACACTATACACACACACTTAGATATGTTGTATTGTGACACATAAGTTATTGCTATATTGCTACTAATGTAAACTGAGAGTCTTTATTTCCTGGGCTATCGCACCACTATGCCCACTTGCTAAGGTTATTTTATCAAAGCACACAATATACATAGCAGAAAAAAAAGACTAAAATTTTAATGGTGCTTCCAGGACTAGAGATAAAAATTCTCCAGCACTGTTTGAAGTTTAATTAGGTTACCTGCATTATGCAATATATGTGTGTGTGTGCGTGTGTGTGTGTGTGTGTGTGTGTGTGTGTGTGTGTGTGTGTATGTGTGTGTGTGTGTGTGTATCAAAGATATAGACAGTGACTAATAATTTTTCTGCTTCTCTTACACATTCTTCTATTATCCCCAAATAAGTGACTTGACACAAAACAATTTTTAAAGGCTACCTGCCTGCCTGGGAAAAAAGGTAAGTATAGCAGCCGAGTGTAAACAAAGATCACATTCGTGTCTGATTAAAATAAATCTGATTAAAATCGGTGAGAGCATTAACAAGAACTGAAAGCAAGTATCTCCCCCAGCTTTCACTATAGGATAAAGAGTTATTTTATATTCCGGTTTGCTGAAAGACAAGAGTAGCAGCTAAGGCTTGACCCAGAGCCACAGATGCCACAGGAAAGACACCTGGGGTCCTGGCCCACGGCCTCCATGTCCAGGGACTCACTACACAGGCACCAGCTCACAGATCCCGCTGCTTCCTCAACACAGAAAAGCCATGCATGGAAGCCACTTACCGAACCTGGTTCTCCAGGAAGTGCATATAGCGGTACAGCAGCGTGTAGGATGGAGAGAGGATACCCACAGACTTCATCCGGGCACCACGCTCCAGCTCGCTTTCCACAGGCATGTTGGCAAAGCAGGCCAGGCCAAAGAAGGGCCCCTTCCGAAAATAGCTGAAACAGACCAAGGATGTACTATGGCTCCAGTTAAGGAAGAGGACATATTTCTACCTTTTTTCCTTTGCAATTCAATCTCAGCCCAAACAGCTATATTCAGAGCTCCAAATAACAAAGTTTATCCATACAAGAAGTCATTCGCTCTGCCAGGGAGTGGCTAAGGCTCCAAGACTCCAGAACTTGTCATCCCAGAGTCAAGTGCTAGAGTTAGCATGTGGTTTCTACAGGCATGCCACTTATGTACCCACCGCCACAGACCTTGGCATCTTCTCTGGCATACCTACCGGTGTCAATGGAAGAACCGGAACGAAGGGCGACCTCCAGGCTCCTTTGGAACTCAGTCTGTTTCTCAGCATAATCCCCAATTCTCTCAGTTCCTTGGCCTCTGACAGCCCCAATGAGGCTGACACTTTACTCCTTTCCCCTTTACACACGTGGATAGACCATGGTTTCCAGCCCATTGTGGAAATTAAAGCTACAAGTCGTGCTCAAAGCATATTCCTTGGTTTTTCACAAAATTCACAATGCACCCTTTACCCAGCACTAAAAACTGGCCTGCTTAAAAAGCTAGTATTCCAGACCCAGTTCGGCGGTGGCGGCGGGGGGGTCCCAACACAGGAACACCCAGAGGCAGCCCAGCCTCCATCCGCAGGCTCAGGTAGGCCAGGAAATGTTTCCAGTTCCGGTTCTTCATCACTGCTCAGAGTCATCTGACATAAGTGACCATACGGAGTTCGGCAGGGAGATCTGACACCCCGAGGCCCGGTGACAGCTCTGCCTCCAACTGCCTGCCCGGCCGGACCCGGCACGCCCGGACATTGCCGACACCCAGGTAACAGTGACACCTCCATCCACGAGAAGAGAACCGACATCAGAGTATTGTATCTGTTTGCATCTACCAGAAGGGAACCATGGTCCCACACCCACCAGGAGAACAAGAAACGCTTGCTACACCCACCAGAGGAAAGGATGAGAAGAGGACAAGGTAAAAACAAATCCAACAACAGAAAACCCAGTATGACACCACCGGAGACTAGGAAGCATACACCAGTAAGACCTCAACATCACGATGCAGATGAACCAGAAGAGAATGACCTTAAAAACATCTTCAGGAAAATGATAGAGGACCTCAAAGAGGACATGAGAAAATCCTTAAAGAAACTGAAGACAAAACAAACCAAAAAATACAAGACACAGTTCAAGACCTAAAAACCAAAATAGAGACAATAAAGAAAGCACAATCTGAGGCAATGCTGGAAATAGA